CAAGGGCCCCTTCTCTCTCGGGCAGCTGCTACTTCTTGACCATTGTGGGTGTACCCTCTCAAGACCAAGGGGGAGGTTGCAGCGGTTGTTCTTAAGGAGTGGATGCCAAGAGCTCAAAGAGAGAGCGGACACAAGGTGAAGGTGATTTGCACCGACAACGGGGGAGACTTTATTGGCAATGAATTTGAGGTGGTGCTGAAGCGGAAGAGAATCCAGCATCAGCTCACAGTGCCCGACAACCCACAACAGAATGGCATGGCTGAGCGGTTCAACCAGACCCTGTAGGAAGGTGCTTGCACTCTCCTTGGGCGTGCAGAGCTTCCGGATCCGTTTTGGGTGACTGCACCGCGGCAGGTCGCCCTTGTGAAGAACAGGGTGGTGGCGAATGTGGGGGACAATCAATGGGTCCCCTACACAAAGGGGTATGGGATGTTGAGAGTCTGTGGCTGCATGGTGGTGTTCATGTGCTGAAGGAGAAGAGGGGAAAGTTGGAGGCTTATGGGAGATGGGGTGTGCACTTGGGGCTTGGTATGGATCACAAGGGCTGGTTGATATGGGACTTGACCAGCCAGCAGCTGAGTGTGTCCAGGGATGTGAAGTTCCTTGAGTCCTTGTACTACAACAATTGGAAGTAGCAGTAGCAGAAGCTTCCTACTACACCACTAATCATTGAGGCTGATGAGGTGCAACGGCATTCGGGGGAGGAGATCTCTGGGGTGACTAAGGATGGGGGAGAACCTGAGGTGGAGCAGTAGCAGCAGCAGCTGCATCAGCAGCAGCAGCAGCTGCATCAGCAGCAGCAGCAGCATGCTCCACACTCGCTTGAGCGTCCTAGGAGGGATATGCACCCTCCTACCAAGCTAACCTATCCGAGTCTTGGCACGCCAAGTGTGATACCTGCTGGGAGTGTGGCTGAGCAGATGGATGAGGATGAAATAGCCTACTGCTATGGGGCTGCTGTGAGATGGTTTGGAGGATAGTGTTGTGAGAGAGAGGATGCAAAGGGGTGTTGCAAGTTTGAGAAGAAGGAGATGTGCGAAAGTTCATTGAGATGAGTGCTGGAAATGAATGAAGCTTGGTTGAATGTGAGTGCATTGATTGTGCATGCATGAGATGAGCCATGTGGGATGATGGTTGGCAGCCAAAGGGAGGGTTTGTTATGTGATGCTATCATTTGCATTCACGTCTGTCTGCCTCCCATCATATGTCCGTGCGTTGCATGCGTGGTGTGAGCGTGTGCAATAATTTGTGTTTGGTGTGGTTTAGATACTTTGAGTGTGTGTGAATGATATTTTTCTTGAGCAGATATGTGAAGTGACTCCTCTATTCAAGTGCTTTCCGACGAGCCAAGGGATTGCTTCAATCGGAGCAAGAGCACGAAAGTTACGAACATTTGAAGTTCGCATGTTTTTTATATTTGGTTGTGGCGACTATGGGAATTTGTGGAGTGACTCAATATGGGGTACAAACTTTTGGGGGTTGGGAAATTCGTCACTTTGTTGTAGTTTTCTGCCAATTGGTTGGGAGAAGCCCAACCAGGTTGGCAAGTGTGGCCAAGTTGGGTGAGGTGGATGGACTGGGTTGGGAAAGTGACAAAGGTCAAAGTTGGGTTGCGTATAGGAAGGTGAATTGTGTGACTACGGGGACTCCTTGGGGACCTTCCCTCTCGTCCTCCTTATCTTCTCCCACCTGGTTTCTAGCAACTCTAACTTTCTTTGTAAGTAAAACTGTAAAAAAATCACAAATGCAACACACATAAAAAACCCTGTGCACGATACCCAATCAAAGCACCTGTCAAGACACCCCATCAAGACACCCCATCCCGCACCCCATGTCCCCCCCCCCCTCTCAATCACAACTGTTCATCCACCATGTATGGGGCCTCCACCCAGAGAGCCCCACCTTCCACCTCGACATCGTCCCTCTCCCGGTCCACCAAATCTACGTTGATCCCCCACATCGAAGACGCCGCTCGAAGCAGGATGACACAGGCTTGCGCACGTTGTAACGCCACCCCGATGAGCGCCTCAGGGACCCTAAAAGATAAGCCGAAAACGCAGTGTCGTCCTCCCGACAAACCCCCCGCAACACAGCTAACCCCACGTGCGCATCCCCTTACTGACGAAGCCACCGCCGAAAACGACCGCCAAGACACCCCCACGTCTCTCCTTTCAGAGGGGTGAACTGCATGCCCCGGTTGCGTGCAAGCAGAGGCGCGTAATCACTCATTTTGCGATGCTCCCACTCTCTTGCCACCACATCTTTGGAACACCCGCACAATCCTAGCAGAGATGGAGACAGCGATAGCGGGTCCGCGACGCTGATCTCTAGGGCGTGAGCCTCTCCAGCCATAGGTTGTCGCACCGCCACATCAACCCGCTTCCCCGGCAGCACCACACTATCCTCCATTGTCCCCCCCCCCCCCCCCGAACGCCTTAGAGATATTTGCCACCGCAAACTTCACCTCATCATGCACCCGAAATGGACCATGTTGGTGCTTGCATCTCAGGGCATGATGCTAGTCTACTGGGTCAACATACGCTGTGCCACAAACACACCTCCCCGCCACCTGCAACTGCTGAATTGGGAGTCCAAGCCGTATAGCAGCAGCAATGCCCCACTCAGCCACAGTGAATGTGAGATCTGAGCGAGCCGAAACCGCCGAAACCCATGCACCCGCCCCCGAGCCCTAAAGGGATGTGAAACGGGCTAGGGTAGCATTGTTACGAGCCAAGTGACAGAGTGCCTGGAGCTCCTCTACAGCTAACTGCCGTTGCCACGCCTAGAAAAGCCGAAGAGGAGGGGCTGCTACGCACAAAGGTAAACCTGGCATCTCCTCGCAGATAGTCGCTGGCAGCTGCTCAAGAGCCTTGGCAAACCACGGGTGAAGAAACTCTGCCCCTGTCAAAGTGGTGAGGTACTCTGCAAACATCGCCTCCTCGACGGCCACCACTAACTGTGCAATGTCACGCGCGGCCTGCGCCCACCCACAAACATGGGACAGTGGGCTCAAAGAGGCCGCCGCCCGGATCCCAAACCCTGTGAGTCGTACAGGGAGACGCAGCTGCATGCGTGCGTGCCTAGACGAGTTGAGGTCCTGCTCCCAAGTAACAGGTGGGAAAAGCTGCTCAAAGCAATCCTCCAGACAGCTATCCCAATTCCTAAAAGCCTCAACCACCTCCGGACACGGCGGCATAGTCCGGGCAAGGTACATTGGCCACGCCGAAACTGCAATGGCGAGGAGGTATGAAGGCATCTGGGGTTGGTCGAGCAAGGGGAGCCATGGCAATGGCGCCTGCAACTGTCAAAGCTGCTCCCGTAGCCAGACCACCTCCCAATCCTCCTCCTCAATAGGCACGCAGCCACAGTAAGACCCTCCTCCACCCGCTGCATCCCCAATGGCAGTGCCCCCTCCACATCCTTGCCCTCGCGCTCCTAAAAATGACACTTGTGCGCCTACACCTCTAGCCCCAGCCACTCCAACTGCTCCCATGGCACCCCAAAAGCCTCCAGAATCCTTGTCACTGGCCCCAAAATAGCTGAGAAAAAAGTAGGTCCCCGAATTCCCTATTAACCGGCTCCATCACCTGCTGCTGCGTGAACGCGAAAAGAAAAGGACTGAGCGGGTCCTCTTGCCTCAATCCCCGTGCCGACTTGAGGCTCTGTATGAAAGGGCCCGCTTGGAGGTACAGGTCGCTAGGTGTCCCATAGAAAACCCGCAAGAATGGGATCATCCCTGAGAAAGTCGACTCCCGCAGCCCATTAAACATCGCATGACGGTGAAATGAATTGAAGGCATTTGTGACGTCTATCTGTAGCGCACACCAATCGGGATGAGTGGCCAGCGCTATCGGAAAGAATGAGTGAGAATCCCCGCCCCGACCCTAGTGCCCGCTCCGAGCTGGTTGCACGGCAGGAAGTAGGAAGCCATCGCAGGGCGGGGCGAGATGCAGAGAGCTTGGGCAAGGATACGGGGAAGCACCTCCCCGATTGCCACCGGCCGGACGTCGCCGTTAGGCTTGGAAAGCCCAACTAGGTTGGATGCGGCGAGCCACGGCCGAGCCCGCTCGGGGTCCTGTCCCGCCACCCATTGGTTGAACAGTTCCAACAGGTGGGAAAGGCAGGAAGGTTCGGTGAGGAAGGTGTCGCGCAGATGCTCTGCGACCCACCCTGATGGCCCTGCTACTGAAGCTTGAGCGGGATAGCTCTTGCCAGGATGTTGGTCGTGAGTGAAGGCCCCTGAGGAGCATCGACGGTGAAATCGCGGACCCACTGAGGTACCTCGCTAGTGGTAGCAGGGTGCTTCTCTCGCAGCGATTGCACCATGGCCTCAGACGGTTGAGCCAACTCCCTTGCCGTAAGGCAAGCCAATCCACGGCCCCACTCCCCCATTTTGCACCAAGATTGGCACCGTGACAGGCGGATGGCATCTGGGTCCTGGTCAGAGCAAGTGTAGGCAAGTGGGCGAACTGCTGGCCGCACTGCCACCATGGCAGAGTCGAACAGCTCCCGCCACCTCCCCTTTTAGAACGCACCCAACCGCTCTGTGATCAGCGCCTTTTGACCTATGCCTGGCTTGGGAGGCACGGCTAGGATGAGGTGCGGAAGCGCCAAGAGTAGAAGGGTAGCGGATTTATCTCTCGGTCGGCTCTTCAAACGCTTTAAGATGCAACAGAGCGCATCTAAGACCCCCGACCGGGCCCGCTGTGGGATCCGGCGCAATGTCCTCCCTCCAACCGCCTCCACACTAGAAAAATGTTTCCCATTCCCATGACGTAACCCCGACCCACACCTCGTTCCCAAATTCCCGCGGCATCGGTCACTTCTACATGTCGGTCTCCACCGGACACGGGATCAAGCCGAGAGCCTACGCACGCCTCTCCACCTCAGCCGCCCAGCATACCCTCATGTGGTTCGCAACAGCCCCTCACGTAGCGAAAGTGTGGAATCACGTGTCGCACGGAAAACGCTTCGTCCGCCTCTGACTCCTCCCAATCGCCATGGGGGTATCAAACTCCAAAAGTCGGCTCCACTCCTCCAATTGCTGCTCCTGGTCGTCCATCGATTGCCCCCCTGCCTGCTGCTCTCCCTGGGGTGCTCCGGTCACCCCCGACTGCCCCCCTGACTGCTGCTCTCCTTGGGGTGCTTGGGTCACCCCCGGCTGCCCCCTTGGCTGCTGCTCACCCTGGGGTGCTCCGGTCACCCCCGGCTGCCCCCTGGCTGCTCCACTCCCTGAGGTGCTCCGTCTGCCCCCCTGCCTGCTGCTCTCCCTAGGGTGTGCCGGGCACCCTCGGCTGCCCCCGTGTCTGCTGCGCTCCCTGGGGTTCCCCGGTCACCCCCGGCTGCCCCCTTGCTTGCTGCTCTCCTTGGGATGCTCCGGTCACCCCCGGCTGCCCCCCTGGCTGCTGCTCTCCCTGGGGTGCTCCGGGCACCCTTGGCTTCCCCCCTGCCTACTGCACTCCCTGCGGTGCTCCGGGCACCCTCGGCTGCCCTCCTGCCTGCTGCTCTCCCTGGGTTGCTCCGAGCACCCTCGGCTGCCCCCCTGCCCGCTCAGCTCCCTGGAGTGTCTCAATCGCCCCTGGCTGCCCCTCCGCCTGCTATGCGGCAGCACCGCTTCCAGTCCGCCCTTGCAACTTACGTGCGTGTCGTCTCCCACCTGGACCCCGTGCCTGGGTTCTCTTCGCTTGGCTTGTAGCATCCGGACTAGCGACCTCCAGCTGCCCCCGCGCCGGCAGATCCGGCCACTCCCCCCTCCCCCCCCCCCCCCCCCCCGGCAGCTCCTGCTGCCCTCCACCGACAGCTCCTGCTGCCCTCCCGCCGACAGCTCCTGCTGCCCTCCTGTGACAGCTCCTGCCGCTCTTCTCCCAGCATCTCCTGCTGCCCTCCTACCTGCAGCCGGGCCTGATTCTCCGATTGGTCCCGCTGCACCTCTGGCTGTAGCTCGGCCATCTCCACGTCCACCGCTTGCTGCTCCCTTGCCGGTAGCTGCCCCTCCCCCGGCGGCTCCTGCTGCTCTTCCCTTGGCAGCTCTTGCTGCTCTCCCCCGGGCTGCTCCTGCTGCGTGTGGCCGGGCCCGGTTCCCCGATTGGTCCTGCTGCACCTATGGCTGTAGCTCGGCCATCTCCACTTCTACCACTTGCTGCTTCCTTGCTTGCTGCTCCCTTGCCAGCAGCCCCTGCTGCCCTTCCCTTGGCAGCTCTTGCTGCTCACCCCCGGGCAGCTCCTGCTGCCCTTCTGCCTGTGGCCGGGCCCAATTCCCCAATTGGTCCCGCTGCACCTCTGGCTGTAGCTTGACCATCTCCACTTCTACCACTTGCTGCCTTCCCGCCGGCAGCTCCTGCTGCCCTCCCGCCGGCAGCTCCTGCTGCCCTCTCGCCGGCACCTCCTGCTGCCCTCTCGCCGGCAGCTCCTGCTGCCCTCCCGTCGGCAGCTCTCGCTGCCCTCCTGCCCGCAGCTCCTGCTACCCTCCCACCACCAGCTCTTGCTCCAATCCCGCCGGCCACTCCTGCTGCTCTCCCGTCGGCAGTACCTGCTGCTCGCCTGCCGGCCGCACCTGCCACCCTCTTGCCTGCGGCTCTTGCTGCCCTCTTGCCGGCAGCTCATGCTCCCCTCTTGTCGGCAGCTCCTGCTGCCCTCCCGCCGGCAGTACCTACTGCTCTCCTGCCGGTCGCACCTGCTGCCCACTTGCCCGCGGTTCTTGCTGCCCTCTCGCCAGCAGCTCCTGCTGCCCTCCCACCGGCAGCACCTGCTGCCCTCCTGCCAGCAGTTCCTGCTGCCCTCCTGCCAGCAGTTCCTGCTGCCCCCTTGCTTGTGACTTCCGGACCTCCCCCAACAGCCAGTTCTGCTGCCCCCCCTCCTGCCACGAGGACTGGGTGCCGACTGGACTCCACTGCTGCACTTCCGGCCGAGCTCTCCGTCTTTGTTTCTGCCTTTGGGCCGGGCGAGGCCCGCGCACGGCTGGGAAGGTTGGGCGTGCCAAGGGATTATCCACGGCCGTCTGCTGCCTATCGTGAGACTCCTGCAGTCGCCGGCAGTGTGCCTCCCATGCCGCCATCGCCGTGTCTTCACCGATGCTTTGCCTGTGCACCCCATGATTGCACGTGCCCTCTTCTCTCGTGTCAAGGTCCCGGTTGGAGATAATGTCGCTGCCGCATACAAAGCCGCCGGGAGTGTCTTTGGGTGGTTCCTCCACCCCCCCCTCTATTGAGAGGGGTCCAAGCCTTTATCGCTTGCTGGGTCTACCGAAAAGGGAGAGTTCATCCTCACAATGGAGGCGACAGAGTTGTGGGTATTGCATACACAACGCTGCCTCTCTGGGTCTCTTGTGACCAATCTTCGCGCAGATCTTTCTCCCCCGGTCTGGAGGGTCTGGGTCGTTGTTCATGGCGTAAGTTGAGCTGGAGGGGCGCCTCCCACCTTCAATGTAAGGTTCGCGGTCCGGGTGAGTTGAAGATGGTGAACGTCACTGGCGCACGAAGACTCCCCTATACGTGGGACGCTCCTAACTGCAGATGTTGTTACCTAGGCACAAATCTCGCTTTTTGGTCCTCCCTACATGCGGTCGTCGCTGCCTAGGCACGGGCCTCGCTGTGAGAGCGCTCCCACGCGCGAATATAGCTCCCTGGGCGCGGCTCCCTCCGTCGCGGTGCGGATTTAGTTGCTTCAGCATGGATTTCACTGTTACAATGTGGGCTTTACTGCTACGGCACAGATTTCGCTGCTATGGCGCGGATTTTGCTTCTTCGGCATGGGTTTCGCTGCTACGGCATGGATTTCGTTGCCGCGAAGCGGATTTTGCTGCTACAGCATAGATGTGGTTGCTACAGCGTGGATTTTGCTGCTTAGGCGCGGATGTCGCTGTTACAGCGCGGATTTCGCTGCCATTGCGCGGATTTCGCTGCTACGACGCAAAGGTCACTGCTGCGGTGCGGGTTTCACTATTACGGCGCGGATTCCACTGCCTAGCCGCACGCGGCAATCTGAAGTTCGTGGGCTAAGAAGCTAAATCGCCGGTTGGTCACCAAAATCACGGCTTTGCAGCTAGATCACGGGCAGAGCGGCTAAATCGCGGGCGGAGCGGCTAAAATGCGGGCTGGGCAGCTAGATCGCGGGCTGGGCGGCTGAATCGCGGGTTAGGGGGCTGAGTCACGGGCTACGTGGCGGGATCGCGCTGCTACTAGAAAAAATCACGTTGCTGCCTAGCGGGAATCATGCTGCTGCCTAACGGGAATCACGCTGCTGCCTAGCGGGAATCACGCTGCTGCCTAGCGGAAATCACGCTGCTGCCTAGCGGGAATCACGCTGCTGCCTAGCGGGAATCACGCGGCTGCCTAGCGGGAATCACGTTGCTGCCTAGCAAGAATCACGCTGCTGCCTAGCGGGAATCACGCTGCTCGTAGCAGTGCTATGCGCTGTAGTACTTCGCCAACGTGAGAGGCCTGTTATTGAGTATAATGCAGAGAGGGGAAATTTCCCTCCTTGTGGTACTTGTGAGATAATTGTGATAGAGTTTAGTTTCTATGGCACCATATCCCCTAGTGCACCAAAATTCATAACTCGAGTTATACACCACCATTTGATACGATCAAATCGGGGCTACAACCTAGTCGGGTTATAGATAATTCCAATAGTGCGTTTTTCGTCGACGGCGTTTCTTGTGACGACGTTTCTGTCCAGAATTGTTGTTGACAATTTTGAGATATTTTGGCCCCTAATCGTTACGGACTCTGTCCTTAATCTCTAACACAGTGACGGGTCGGGAGACGACAGAAAGAAGTCAAGCACTGCAAGGGGTTGAGCGAAGTGTGTTGCGCCACTCATGTGGAGCCTGACGCAGGCCGTAGACTGGTCGACGCAGCTGCCACTTGTTCCCAGGTGGGAAAGAGCCAGTGAAGCCAGGCGGGCGACGCAGCCAAATCTGCTCGTGCAGGCTCCCCTGAAGGAACGCACCGGAGAAGTCCAAGGAGTGCAACTCGTAGTCGCGCTGGGCTGCAATATGCAGCAACACGTGAAGAGTACTCACCTTTGGGTTGGGAGCGAAAGTCAGGACGAAGTCCACCCCCTCTCGCTGAATGAAGCCTCTCGCCACATAGGGCACATTGAACACTGGTGGTGATCCAGGAAGTCGCTTCACCTTGTAGAGCCATCGGCCACTAACGACGTTCGTCCCAGGTGGTAGGACTGCGTCAACGTAAGTGCCTGTGGACCTATAAGATGCCATCTCTACCTCCTCAGCTGCTATCTAGTATGAGGCCCAAGGTCCCGGGATCGCCTCAGTGTGAGTGCGAGGAATCTGGATGTCAAGAGCGTCTGGATCCCCCTCAGGGGCAAGCAGCATCGCACAGAGATGAGGAACAGCAGTCGCAGGGAAACCAAGCTCAAACTGCCTGTCCTCTAGGACCTCCAGGGAAAAGACACGAGCACCGCTAGAGGACGGAGAACGAGCAGGGCCACTAACAAAGTGAGCGGCGTAGTCAAGGCGGTGGGAAGAGGCAAAGCCAGCAACAGTGGTAGCAAGAGCTGAGACATACGACAGGGGTGCGGTCGGGTGAGTGACCAACACGGAAAAAACACGGGAGACGACAGGACGGGAGGCACAGAGCTAGTCGAACAATAGGTTGTGAAGCACAGTGAGGGACGACTCAAGAGGTTGTGGAAGGACTGGAGGAGGTGGAACACAACAGCGGAAAAGAAGGTGAAACGGGTCGTCTGCACGGTAACGAGATTGACGGGGAGAACAACGAGTCCACTGGGACGACGAAAGGGACTAGACCACGAACCAAGCCTGCAGGCGCTGGGTCGGGCAGGTCGCGCAGTCACAGTCATTGCTGCTCCACCTCCTCTGGCATCTGCTGCTACGGTACCTGTCCTTGTTGCTGCTCTTGTGGCTCCTCCCCTGCCCTCTCCTGCTGCGGCTCCAGCAGCACCCGCTGTTGCGACCAGGACTCTTGCGCGACCCTCTCCTGCTGCGGCCGTGACTCCTCCTCTACTCTCTCCTCTGTGTCTGCAACTGCACCTGCTATTGCGGGCGGGACTCCTGCTCCACCCTCTCCTGCTGCAACCGGGACTCCTGCTCTACCCACACCGGGCGGGACTCCTCCTCTACACTCTCCTGCTATGTCTGCAACTGCACCTCCTGCTATGGCTCCTCCATTACTCCCTTAGCTGCTGCGACTAAGACTGCTCCTGCTCCTGCTGCGGCTGCTGCTGTTGATGTGCCCTCTCAAACAGCTCACGCTCCTTACTCTCCAGCCGGAGGAGACGCTGCTCGCGGGTCACGAATCGTACAATGCGCGGTGTAGGCGCCATAGTGCCAGTGCCTCAACCTCCAGCACCCCCAGATCCAGCACCTCCACCACTTACACCCCCGGGGCCTCCAGTATCTCCCGCAGGAACACCTCTAGGCTCCACAACAACCGGCCGCAGAGAAGAACGATGAGGAAAATGCAGGATGGACACGAAGCCAAGGAGTGACGCAGGGCGAGGCCGCCGACTTGAGGCTCCCGTGTCCTCCATGGGAGTGACCTCTGTTATTTCTGCACAACGGCATTAAAGGTTCATAGCGATCTGGCCAGATAACTTGATTCAACTTAGATCGAAATATTTCATCAAGAATTGACGACACAGCGTAGGTTTGAAGGAACGACACGACGGCAGCAACATAGTCTTAGAACACAAGATGGGAAGAGTTAGGAAGAGTTACGAGTTGGGAAGGACTCCCAGCTCCTACAAACCCCAAGAGCCGAGGTACAATGATGTGGAACAGTGCCACACTGTCCCCAACCACGAAGTATCTCGAAGCTACCCTGCACAAGGGTCTACACCAACAGAAATGTTACACTACACATTGTAATGTAATTATCTTCAATATCTAGAGGTGTACCCATTTGATGAGCTTCGAAATCACTTGAAGCTTGAACCAAGGCTCTGATTCTTCATCACAAAACTCATCCTTGAGTTCTTAATGGGTCTTCTGCAAACACCTACGACAAGCCGAACATTCGACACAGGACAAAATAGAAACCGCGCACGAGACACACGACAAAATAGAAAACTGCGCGCGACACACAAATTACTGCATTAACACGCGGCTAGCGATAACTCGCTATTGAATCGACACACAAACTCGACATCATGACCCATCATACACACACTATTATAAGCATGATATATATGTATGTATTATTTCATGCCCTCATTCCATTCCATGCACACACGCATGCACGCACACGGACAAGCCGAGTGCAAAACATAGGGTTGCACCAACAAACTCCCCCTCGGATTGTTGGCCTTAGGATCTGTTGCTCTTAGTTCAGAGCCATCCCAGCCAGCTTGCAACACTTCCAACGCTGCTGCTCCAACAGCCTCTTGGTCATCATGTCAGCCAGGTGCCCCGTCGTCTTCACGTATCGCAGCTCAACCTCACCCGCGGCCACCATGCTCCTTGTCAAGTGCCACTTCACCCTCATGTGCTTTGTGAGGCCATGCAACACGGGGGTCTTAGCTAGAGCAATGGCTCACTGGCTGTCACAATAGAGAGGAGTAGATCCTTGCTGCTCCTCCCCCAATTCAGCCAACAAACGCAGCTGCCACAATCTCCCGTACGGCACGGAAGAGTGCCATCTACTCGGATTCCACCGAGCTCAATGCTTGATCCACCTACTTTATGCTCTCTCAAGCAGTTGGGCCTCCACCAACACAGCATATGAAGCCTCCCACACTTGTCATGTCCTCTGGTTCCGATGCAAATGAAGCATCCGAGTAGGCGGTGAGGAACAAACGCCCGGGTTCTACACCATCTGCGCCCTTTTGCCGCCTTTGCGCTGTCGCCGAGTATTGCAGCCCAACGGTCGGTGTTTGGCCAAGGTACTTAGCCATCCTCATTCCAGCTGCTACCTGCTCCTCATTAGGGCATTGCAAAACCCTAGCTAGCTGTTCGATAGCAAACGCGACGTCCGGTCGGGTGTTTACCGCTGCATACATGAGGCTGCCCACCAATGAGTGAAAAACGGCGCCTCTCCTCTTCACCAACGCTCTCCTCCTCTGGTCCCTTCACACACTTGAACCCAGAAGAAAAGGGAGTAGCCACATGGCCTTCACTCTGCCCAAATTTGGCTGCCAAGGCCTCCTGATACTTCTGTTGGTGCACCCAGATGCACCACTTCTCCATGTCACGCTCGATGTGAAGTGCGAGGTAGAAGTTGACGT